CTGGAGATAGAGTTATGGGTGGTTGTAAGCCACCAGACTTGGAGGCACTGTTTAGAGCAGTGGCCTGATCCTTCCACAACTTAAACAACTAGGCACCCCACACCCTACTTTAAAAAATATTTTTTTGCTACAGAATCTGATACAGCCCAGACTGGCCTTCAACTCTCTAGGTAGCTGAGGATGACTTTGAATTCCTGATCCTCCTGCCTCTAGCTCCCAAGTTCTGGGATTATAGGCATGTGCCACCATGCTTGGTTTATTTGGTACTAGGGTGGAACCCAAGGTTTCGGGCATGCTAGGCAAGTGCTCTACCAACTGAGCTTGACCTCCAGCCCACCACAGCCCATTAACAAGGTCTCATGATTCTGTTTTGTTCCACAGTGAGTCCAAACGCTATGTGTAGCCCAAGAAGTGGTAACAGGGAGCCACTAAGTTAATGGTCTTTGAGGTTCACCAGTTGTGGGTTCCACGTCCTGACCACCTTTCTATCAACTTGACTTTGAACCAACTATTTCCCATCTCTGAATCCCAGCCCTCTCTTTAGTGATAACTAGTACAAGGCTTTATTTTGAGCCCCACCTCCTACCCCCACCCCACATCCCTTACCCTAACTTTGTCTTTCTTTTGGGAGAACCAGTTCTTTAGAACTCTGAAGCATGACTTCATTCTCTGGTTCCCTGAGTAGACCATGTAACCCAGGCTTAAGCCAGTCAAGACTTCTATCAATGGGCCATGGAGCCTGGTCTACGGATGGTCACGTGACCCAAGCTAGGCCTACAGAGTGACTCTCCAGGCCTTTACTTAAAATGTATCTTTGGGGGCTAGAGAATTGGCTCAGCAGTTAAGAGAACTGGCTGCTCTTGCAGAGGATCCAGGTTCAATTCCCAGTGCCCACATGGCAGCTAACAACTGTCCGTAACTCCAGGAGATCTGATACCCTTTTCTGGGGCATTGCATCACACGGTTTGTGTACATACATGCTGGAAGTACACTCATGCATATAACAAATAATAAATTAAAAAAATTTTTTGGTCTTTTTGAGACAGGGTCTCCCTGGAGACCGAGCTGTCCTGGAACTCACTATGTAGACCAGGCTGGCCTTGAACTCGCAGAGCTCCACCTGCCTCTGCCTCCCAAGTGCTGGGACTGTAGGCGTGCACCACCATGCCCGGCAATAAATAAAATATTTTAAAAATTCAGACTAGAGATATTCAACCTCTAGTTTCTGTAGTACAACACAAATCCACAAAGGAAATATTCAGTCTTTGATATGGTGTTTGACATGAAGTGATGCTTAATAAATGATAATTATTTATACTATTATAAATCTATAGAAAAATGAGAAATTACAGATTAAACAAAGAGACTGGAAAAAATGGACATTAAAAAAATCTCACCATTTAGGAGCAGGTAAATATTTTTCTTTCAGACATTTTTAGATGCATACATACATGTGTGTGTATGCCAAAATAAAATTATACTGTTAGAAATCAAACATACTGGGGGGTCAGGCATGGTGGTATACACATTTAATACCAGCACTCAGACCCTGTCTCAACAAACAAACAAACAGAAAGAAAGAAAATACATTAGGCCAGTAAGATGTCTCAGTGGGCAAAGCTGGGCACTTATTGCCAAGCTTGATGACCTGAGTTCAATCCCTGGAGCCCACATAATGGAAGGAGAGACCTGACTCCTGAAGGTTCTATGACCTACACACAAGCTGCGGTATGTATGTGTGCCCACCAATTAAAAAAAATGTAAAAAACCCAAACACATTATAAAGATGTTCAAGCTGGTGTGGTGGCGCATGCCTTTAATCCCCTCACTTGGGAGGCAGAGGCAGGCAGATCTCTGTAAGATGGAGGCTACCCTGGTCTATATAATAAATTCCAGGCCAACTGGGACTGTAGGGAGACCTTGTCTTAAACAAACAAACAAACAAACAAACAAAGCCACACAGTGCACTCATTTGTAATAGGAGCATGGCATGTTTCTGTGGGATTTCAGATACTCTTATTTTTGTACACATTACATTATGATGATAATTCCGCATCATATAGCTATTGACTGATCTGCCTTTTTAAAAAAAATAGTGTCTTGTAAGGCTGGAGAGATGACTCAGTGGTTAAGAGCACTGACTGCTCTTGTAGAGGACCTGGGTTCCGTTCCCAGCACCAATATGGCAGCTAACAACCATCCTAACTCCAGTTCCAGGGGAATCTGATGCCCTCTTCTGACTGCCACAGGCATTGCGCGACACAGGTGCACTTACATACATGTAGGCAATACACTCATATACAAAACGTAAAAATAATAAATAGAATATTGATAAAAGAACCAAGGGTCAGTAAGATGATTCACTGGGAAAAGGTACTTGCTGCCAAGCCTAACAATCTTAGTTCTGACCCCGCATCCCATATGGTGGAAGGAGAGAACTGACTCTGGAAGTTGTCCTCTGACTTCCACATCAGCTAAGTGGCACACACACACAGACACACACACACACATGCACACACACTAACTAAAATGTAAAATCAATATCAATAAGGAGAAGGATAAAACTGTGATCTGAGTATTGAAATGTCTAGTTTGGGTATACATTGCATCACTCAGGATTTACATGTCTTTACTCAGAGGGGAGAGCCCAGTTCCATGGTTTCCAAGCCCTGTCCATATCAGGCACCTTCTCCTCTCTGATGTCCTTAGGACGCCCAGAAGGGGAGGCACTGTGGCCAGCAAAGGACAGCAAACTGCAGCTGGTGGCTCTGAGGCTCTGCATCAGTCCCTCCATTCAGGGGACCTGGCTCCCTGCACTTTTCTGTTCTTTCCTCCAGATGTTCGAGAGAGAGAGAGAGAGAGAGAGAGAGAGAGAGAGAGAGAGAGAGCTCTCAGGGTTTCAAACATAACCCATGGTAAAGTCTTGGTTGCTATTTTATTTTGAAAGAAAAAAAGTATAAGGTCAGCAAAATGGCTCCGTGGGTAAAGGTGCTTACTGCCAAGCCTGATAGCCCGAGTTCGATCCCTGGGACCCACGTGGTAGAAGGAGAGAACCTGCTCTGCAAGCTGTCCTCCGACCTCTACGCAAGTACCGTGAGAAGTGTGCTTACGCACATCGCACACACAATAAATAGATAACGAATAAATAAAGTTTCTCCAAAGTATAATTCTATTTATTGGTGGATGACTGTCCTAGTTTGTTTCTTCATTGCTGTGACAAAACACTCTGAGCACTAACAACTTGGGAAGGAAAGGGTTTATTTATCTTACATCTCCCAGGTCACAGTTCATCAGGAAGCCCAAGGTTCAGGAACTCAGGGCACGAACTTGGAGGCAGGAGCTGGAGCACAGGCCATGGAGGAACACTGCTTGCTCCCCTGGCCCCTGCTCACCCTGCTTTCTTATGCAACACAGGCCCACGTGCCCAGGGGTCACACCACCCACAGAGGGCTGGACCCTTCCACATCACTCAACAATCAAGAAGATGCCCCATGGATATGGCCACAGGCCAGTCCAGTGAAGGCAAATCCCCAATTGAGGCCCCCTCAACCCAGGTGAGTCAAGTTGACACTAAAGCATCCAGCACAATGACATAACCAACTATGTGGAAAATCAAACAACTCACAAAGAAAGTTACAAGAACTAATAGGGGAAAACAAAGCTGGCTAGGTCTCCAGTGCTGCCCACTTGGTTGTGGCTCCCCTGAAACCCTGTCTCCACAGAGCAGCTCCTCCTGTGACCTGACGAGCTCTGGTAACCTTGAGGAGAAGGCGCAACCACTCCTCTGGCTTAGCCTGGTCAGGAGACCCCCAGCACGGTTGCTGGGGCCCCATGGACAGCCAGGCTAGAGGATGGATGAGATTTCCCACACAGTCCCCATTATCAGGAGGCCTGTGTCTGAACTGAGTGTTGTCAGCCACCCAGGGCAGCCCCATGGTGCCAGGCCCCCTCTGCTGCTCAGTCCTCCGGCTAGAGTGACTCACCTCCTGGGGCAGATTCTCTCTTAGGGTCATCATACTTCTCACAGACCCTGCTCCTATCACCTCCCGGGTCCCCAGGCTGTCGTGTATCTGAACCCACTTCAAGGTACCTCACATCTGCACCTGGAGGCTGCCTAGTGGGAGCAAAGAACAGCTGGGCAGGAGAGTGTTGCTGACCTTGAATGTGGCCACCCTTCACTCCACAGTCCATCTCATGATACAGAGGCAGGAACAGGTTCCGAGGGGACCTAACAGTCCCAAGGTCTCCTAACAAGTTGTGATGGCGCTGGAATTTGAATACTTTCTCTCTGGCATCTTTCTGTGCCGGTTTTCCTGTGTCCGTCAGGAAGAGCCCATTTCCTACTAGCCCTGAGCGTTCTGAGCAGCAGGTGGGTAGATGAAGGGAAGAGATGACATGATGCCCTGAAACCAAAATGCTCACTGCCCACTCATCCCAAGGGTGACCATGGGAGCCTGTTCTCCTCAAACCCTCCGCCAGAACCACCTGGACGCCCCTGGCGGCCATTTACCTGCTTGGACTGGGCAGGAGAGAGGGAGGCTGGGTTTTGACTGGCAGCTGAGCTCACTGCTTTGGGCCTGGCCCCCACCCCGCCCCCATTCCAGCTGGCTGCAGACAGGGGTAGGGGGGTGGGGGGGTCAACCTCACAGGGAGACTTTTGTTCTTGCCTAGAAGAGACTTGGGCTGGGGACGGAGCTTCCCCTTGGCTACTACGGAGACGGAGGCCACTTGAGTTCATGTTTATTTTCACAGCGTGGATTCCATGGAGATAATCATTCCAGACAGGGAAGCTGTGGGAAGAGGGTTCCGGCCTCCGTGGAGCACCTACTATGTGCAAAACCTAAAGACAGACAAGAGCCAGTGGGATTCCCAAGGCACACATGGGATCAGACATCTGACTGAGAGGGACGCTCTCACGGTTCAGAAAGGGCAAGCCTCTGGCCCAAGGTCACACAGCAGGTTAGCAGAGAACCGGAAGGGGAGGCCACCTGCTCCTGGGCTCTTTCTCCTGTGTCTCTGAGTGACAGAGGAACTCAGTGTCCCCAAGACTTGTTTGAGGATGTACAGCTTGGAGTCCCACTCAAGCCAGGGGCCCTGGCGCTGGATGAATGGGAATGTGGGTATCTTTTCCAGGAAACAGGTTTTAATCCAAGATGAGGTTCTGACCAAACATACTTCTCTGACCTTCAGTCTCTTCTTTTGTCTCATTCAAGAATTGGGCAATTTAAGAAGGAGCCGGGTGCATGGTAAGAGCAAAATAGCAACCATTTGTGAATGCTATTATCACTACAGCCATTTTTCTGGCCTACCTGATCCTCTATCCTTGGGCCAGCCATGGGTCCAGGATGACCCCACGGGATAATGTCAGAGCCTTCCTGTCAGGAATCAGAGCTCTGTAGGAGGGCTGAGCACAGTGGGACACACTACCCCCCACTGTCCCCAAGGAACAGGCTGAGATTTCACACAGCCTTGCCCCAGTTGTAGCAGAACCCCCAAGTCTGACCCCCATATCACCGCGGCCCTCCCCCAAATCCATCCTGTATGTAACTTATTTATTTTCTGTATCTGCTTTTCCCATCAGACGATTTCATTCCCGAAATCCATCTCGAGCTCTCTTCCACTGACTCACCCAGCCGGACGGGCCAGCGGCCTTCACCATCTTCCTGCTTAGACCCAAGTATCCGAAGTGACGGGACTCGAGGAAACGCCGGATCAAACAGCAAACATGGAACCAATCAGATCTTTAACCCGACACTACAAACTTCCCACAGACTTCAGAGAAATACCTCAGGAAGGTTGTGACCTTTCCATTTTCTCCCCGGGCTACCGCCTCCTCCAGCCTTTCGAAAATACAGAGCTGACCTTGCCACTTCAAGCTTCAAACCCCTTTGGCGCTCTCTGTGTTATTTATTATTATTTGAGGATATTTATCGAGGTTCTCTACTTTCTGGGCCCTGTATCAAATGCTCTTTCGTGCACTCATTTTCATGGGGCAGGGATGACGGCTGCCTTCATGTCCTGTTGGGGATGAGGGACCATGGACATGGGGTCTTGTGCAGGGTCACACAGTGGGTGTGTGGGGTGCAAAGCCAGGTGGGTCCAAGTTCAAAGTCCATGTCACCCTCTCTCTACTGCCCACCAGCCTTCAGCTCGCCCTTGGGGAACCAGGGGCCTCTTTGGATGACTCCTGTCTTAGCACTGTGTCTTAGCTGTAGAAGTCCATCTCCCCACCCCCCATGGCCTCTGGACCTTGGCGCTGGCACACTCCACAGCCATCTCCAGACCTCCTGGTGACTGTCGGCTCCATAACTGAATTTGTGAATCACTAGTTTCGAAATCTCCCGTTTTGAAACCAAAGCCTTCCTGGACCCTGAACCTCCTCTGTCTCCATCCAACCATCTGTCCGTCTTCTGCCAATTCTCAAAACCAAGCATTTGGAGTCCTGTGCCTGTCCACCCCTCAGATCTTGCTTTCCACCTCCCCTGTGGGGCCCTGGCTTGGTTACTTTTGACCTCTGACTTTTGACTTCTGTGGTGTTCATTCCATTTACCAGGGTTCCTGTCCCCATCTGCCATCCTTACTGGCTCACCTGCCATGTGGCCCCTCTGGCTGTTTTTGCTTATCTCTCCCCTTGCTCCCTGTCCTCATACAGATGCACCTGTGTTCCAGCGCAGCACCATGGTGCTGTCCCTCTGTCCCAGCTCCCAGGGACCCTGGGGCTCCACCGCCCCAAGGTCACAGTCAAACCCGCTCCTCAGCCACAACTTCTCCTCTGACCCACTCGGCCCACTGCCTCCTGGTGTTTCCCTGGGGCACCCCATGGGTCCCCACAGAACTCCTCCCCAGCCTCCCTGGTGGATTGCTGTCCTGCACCATGATGGACAGACAGATGTGACAAAGACCATCCGGTGGAGTTTCTCTCCACTCCACTTTAAACTCCTCTAATTCAGCCTCAAGCCCTGTCCTTCCTACCTCTGGGTATATTGGGGTATCCCCATTCCCCAGGCCACTGCCCTCATTCCCCCCATTGGCTTAAAAATTGCTATGTTGCCCAGGATGACCTTAGATCGCCAGTTCTGTCTTCATCTCCTGAGTGCTGGAGTTACAGGCAGTGCTGGGGATGGAACCCGGGGCTTTGTGCACTCTAGGCCAGCACTCTCCCAACTAAGCCACATCCCCAGCATCGAGTCCGCTTCTTTGCCTCTTCCTCTCTGGCCTTCATCTCTAACCTTCTGCAAACTCTGCTCCCTACCGCATGCAGTATCTTCCTCAAGGGCAAAGGGGCTCACACCAAAATCTGCCCTGGTGAAACCCAGCAGTGGCTCAGTCCCACGCCCTCCCCGTTAGGGCGTCAGTCAGTGAATTAACCTCTTTTGCTGGTCTCCTAACGCTTGATTATGGAAATGACCTGTTGGTAGGTGCCTTGTCCCCTGGACATTGCACGAGCCTTCCTCTGTCCAGGTGAGTTGCTGTCCTTCTCCAGGTCTCATGCCAAAGCCATTTCCCTTCAGTTCCCCGAGAGACCTGAGCACCCATGGTATTCCTAGACTGAATATAGGTAGGCACCTGTTAAAGCTCGTATTTATGTTACAGCAAAAATCATGTCGTATCTTTCTGTCCCCTTCCCCACATGAATTGGAAGTTTCTGGAAGGCAGGACTTAAGGAGGATCTGATTCTGGGTTTCTGTGTTCAGTCCAGGGTCTGGTTTGGAGGAAGAACTCAGCAACTTGTTACTTTGCCTTCAGTTCAGAAAAGAAAAGAAGAGAAAAGAGAAGCAAAGCAAAGGGGTGGGGACCGCATTATTATTCTAGGAGTTTGAGGCCAGCCTGGACTATATGAGACCTTGTCTTTAAAGAGGAAGAAGCCTGGACATGGTGGTGCACACCTTTAATCCCAGCGCTTGGGAGGCAGAAGCAAGCAGATCTCTGTGAGTTCAAGGCCAGCCTGGTCTCCATAGCGAGTTCCAGACCAGCTGCGGCTATAGGGAGACCTTGCCTCAAAAAGACTTAAAAAATTAAACAAATAAAATAATCTTCTTCAAAAAAATTCAGCCAGGAGTAGTGGCACTTGAGAGGCAGAGACAGGTGGATCTCTGTGAGATCGAGGCCAGCCTGGTCTGCATAACAATTTCTAGGCCAGTTGGGGCTACAGGGAGACCCTGACTCAAACAAAATGAGAGAGAGAGGAGAGAGAGGAGAGAGAGAGAGAGAGAGAGAGAGAGAGAGAGAGAGAGAGAGAGTGTCTAGGAGCCAGAAGCTACAAGCACACTCTGGAGCACACTCAAGGTCCCCTGGGCTGTGTACCGCACCCTCCTCCATCTCAGAATACTCCATCTTCCTAGATGAAACTGGGCCTTTGGAGTGAGACATACCTAGCTTCAAATCACCCCTTTCTTTCCTGCTGTGTGACCATGGGTATGTCCCTCCCCTTTCCTGAACCTCCTTGTCTCTCTTGAACAACATCCACCTGGCAGGCTTGGTGGGGGTGTCCCCTGAGTGGTTGGGCTGGTGTTGGGAACCTAGGGCTGCTCAGGGCTTGAGTAGTTAGTCACACACCCAAGCAAGACCCAGGCTCTGCTCTTCTCCCACTCTGAGACCTGGTTGGGCAAAGGATGGTTACCAATGGTCAGTCCTCTGCACAGCTCTGTGCCTGACACCTATATTGTCCCATGCTATCTCCTCCACCCCCCATTTGCCAATAGGGAAACAGATTCAGAGAGGTCAGGTTATCTGCCCAAGGTCACACAGCCAGTGTGTGAGTTTAGATCTGAAATCAGTCCAAGGAGGAACTGTGTGTCCTTCCCAGGTTCACTCACACGTTCCCAGAGGGCTGAACGGCAGCCTGGCCCTGGGGCCAAATGGGCCTCCCTCACCTCCCCTCTGCCCACTGCTAGATCTGTTTAAACTAGCTGAGCAGGGTGAGGTGGGGAGGCCACGGGGAAGGTAGGGAGATGTTTGTTTTCCTTGGGGGTTTATATCAACATTGGTCTTGACATTTCGCCTGTTATTATGTGTGGTTCTTTAGAGGGTGAAATAATATTTTCTTTTGCTTGAGAAAAGGACAAAGTTCAGACAGAGCTCTTGGCCCCAAATGGATTTTTCTCTTTCTCTGCTCTCGCGTGTGCCAGAGCTGCGACGGACTTCCTCCCAGCCACTTCTTAGGGGCTGGCATCCTCCCTGCACTTTGGACACCAGCCTGGGTCCACAGCAACCTGCTATGGGTGACTGGTGCAGACTGGGGAGCCACCTTCACTCTTCACTGGAGGGATGTGATTGGTGGGCCACGGTGCAGTTCACCCCTGGCTTCTCTGCATTCACATGAGGGATCCATGGACGCTTACTGGCACTCTGCCTGCTCCAGGCACTCTGGGGTTCAGAGAGGTTTCTAGGTCTCTTCACCCTCTAGGGAGCTGGAGTGCTTCAGTTCCGTGCTCTGAACTTGCTGAGGGCTGCCCCAACCCTGGGACACACCCTGAGGGTGGGTGTTCTAGGAGTGCTGAGAGTACATGCTGGGTACCACTGGTGAGTCCTAGACACTATGGGCATTTCTGAGAGCTTAGAGGAAAACAGGTGGCTAGTGCCACAGACAGTTGTCTGTGGTCCCTGGAGGAGAACTGAGCTCTCTATATACATCCTAGGAATTTGGGGGTGGGGAGACCAACATGTGCAGACGCCTCTAGACATTGACAGGTCCCGAGGCTTTATAGATGTCCACTGGTGTGCTGTGGGTCACCACCTTGACAATCACTGCATGGCTACAGTCCCCACCTTAGCCAGATAAAACTACGACAAACGGAACATCTTGAAACACCAGCACAACTCCTGCAGAGCCTGGAGATGGAAGCCCGAGATGAAGGCCTGCTGGGGTGGTTACTCTGGTGTGATTGTCCCTACCTCTGATTGTAGACACATCACCTCCTCCAACTTCTGGCTTTCTCCTTGTCTCTGTCTGAGTCTCCTCTTCCTCTGCTAAACACATCCATCATTGGAGTCAGAGCCACACTAATCTAGAATGACCACATTTTAGTTTAACCAATTACATCTTCTGTAAAGGCTTTATTTCCAAATAGTCATATTCTGAGATTCTGGGTAGACATTACTTTGGGGAAGACTTAGTGAACCTACCATAGCATACCCCTACCTTGAGCTGAGTCTGCAAAGGACTGAGTTCATAGTCCATCTGCACCCCAAAAAGAAGTGTGTGTGATTCCTGTCACTGTGACAAGCACCTGAGATAGCTTTAAAGTGGAAAGAGGGGCAGGGGATATGGCTCAATAAAGTGCTTGCTGTGAAAACATGGGGACCTGAGTTAGATCCTCAGCACCCATGTAAAAGCTAGATATAGTGATGCCTCTGTAATCTTAGAGTGGGGGAGGCAGAAACAGGTGGATCCCAGAAGCTCATTGGTCAACCAGTCTAGCCTAATTGGCAAGTTCCAGGTTCAGGGAGAGAGACCCTGTCTCCAAAAATAAGGTGGGCTGGGGCTGGAGCAATGCCCCAGCAGTTAAGAACACTTACTGTTCTTCCAGAGGACCTGAGTTTGATTCCCAGCACCCACATGGAGGCTAACAACCTGTAACTCCAGTTCCAGGAGATTCCATACCCCCTTCTGGCCTCTGTGGGCATTGTATGTATGTGGTACACTTATATACACCCAGGCAAAACACTCATACATATAAAATAAAAAATAAAATATTTAAAAAATAAGGTGGAGGGAGCTACAGAGATGGGTCAGTGGTTAAGAGCATATATTGTTCTTGCAGAGGACTTGAATTCTTTTCCCAGCACCCACATTAGGTGGCTAGCAACCTCCTGTAACTCCAGTTCAAGGGGAATCTGACACCTTTGGTTTCTGAGGGCATCTGCACTCATATG